TTTCCCTATGGGGGGGGTCGTATTTGGCCGCCAAAAGGGGGGGTCGTATTTGGGCTGGGAAAAATTTATTTTTATAGTTGATTTTTCTCGCTTTGCGGACGTTTTGGAGGGGGGGGGGGGTCGTACTTGGTCATTGTTGGGAGGGGGGTTACGTTTTGGCGTTGTAGGAGTGGTGGTTGACTTTTGGTGATTTTCCTGTTTCATGCGTACTATATGCCCCCCCCTCCCCTCCCCCCCCTCCCCCCCGCTCGACAGCAAAATTTTTGGGGAAAAGTAGGGAACTTTTCGGGAAATTTTGGAAAAAAGTGGCAGGAAGTTGGGGAAAATCTGAAAATTGGTAGAAGGGGGGGGGTCGGTCGTACGAACTCGATTAACATCCCCAACCAATGATCCTAGCGAACGCAGTTCTTCATTTCTCTGCGCTCTGACCCCTCCACCGGAGGTTCTAGTTGTCACGTAACCGTACTGCGGCGCTTAGACTCTCCCGGATTATCTCTTTCTTATCATGTGTCTGCCACCCAACTAATTGGGAGATAGGCGCGCAAAGCCACGAAACACCGCTCTACACCCTAATGGGCTGTACTCCTAAGGCATTATTCACACTCTGCGACCCTGACAAATGCGTTCGGCGAAGATGCAATAGATGCGTATCAATTTCGCTGGCTCCGCCCTAGAGAAAAACGCCAGGGTGTCGAGCTAGCGTTTTTCGACCAACCGCTTCCGCCGAACCACCCGTCGATACGTATCGTTTCGCGCAGCCACCGGACTCTTCGGACTCAACCGCCAATCGATACGTATCAAAGGCTTTTCGGTAAAGCGTTTCTTCCGAGAGAAACGTGGGTTCGCAGACTGCCTAAGGCATTCAGTGACCCTTCTTGAATGAAATATCTTTTGTCATCACAATGCTCGTAAAACTGTCATTTATAATGTTCATTTCAGAGTGGGGATATACGGCTGGCGGAAGCGATGTCTTTACTTTTTTATTCTTATTCTTACTATAGTCATCGTTCTCAACTTAGCGTTAACTGCATGGATTATGTCAGTGCTGGATTTTTCTACGGTATGTTATGTTCCATCTTCAGAAGCTGTCACTCTTTTTTTGTGGACGTTTTGAAATATCGCATTAGAGTTTTTTCCGTTCCATTTTCATTTGAGCGACGAAGAGGTTGTAGTATGCGATTCTTACTTTCCTTCAATACCTCTGATCATCACAAGTAACAGAGAAGCCTCACTGTGGGTCTATGACCAAATGAATGTATCATCATATAGTTACTATGAAAACGTGGTTGAGAGCGCGTTCATACCCCGCGATCCGAGCGACTTGATCGCGCGATTCAAGCGATCGAACCGCGAAATGAAGGCACTCTGATGATGGATGGGGGATGGTTGCACGACTGTGAGTATCATGTCCGCTTTTCCTCTTCCTCTCACCAAGATGGTTTCTGAGGGCTTCAAAAAGGGTAACGACACATTTTATGCAGAAACCCGATTGCTAATGGGGGATGTACAAGCACCCATTCTAATGCCTTGGAAAGGTGTGGCAGGAGAGTGACAGGACAGGCTCATGTGGTGTGGCCGTCAGCAACCTCTACCCCCTCAACTAACTCCTCTACCCCCAGTTTTCGTCTACATCGAGAGACTTTTACCATACATACTGGTCAGAGTTTTTTTTTTACGATGAGTGTTTTTACGATGGTAAGTGTGGTGTGTGGTGGTGATTCTATCGTCGGGTCGTCGCGCCGGTGGGCGGAGCGCGGCGGCGCCGCGTACGAGTTTTGTTGCGTGGCGTTCAAATTGTTAAAGGGTCGACGATCCCTTTAACAATTTGAAAGAGGCACAGCTTGCTGTGGCCGTTGCTCCAATGACAACTCGGGAGTGCCGCGCAGCGACGCGGCGCGGCGTGTGCGGCGTCGCCTGACTTTCCGACGATAGAATCGCCCGGGTGCCTGGTAAGTGCCATTGGTTCTGCTAATGCAATTTTCAGGAGGGCATGGGAGCGTTAAAAATCCAAGATGACGGTATTCGAGTGGAGGGCCGGGCGCAGTTTGACAAGCCGGTCACATTCTCACATCTTAGCACTGATAAGGTAGAATTTGAATAGAGTCGGTCATATTTACTTAGCTAGAAAAGCATCAGAAGTTCATCAAATTGTAAGGCCCGTATGCATAATACTTATGCGTAATGTTCATTTATTTCTTGCTTGTAATTTAGGCTGTTAGCTATGAAACAGGTCCTGACATAAATCGCAAAAGCCACGCGGCGCACGTTTGTGTGTCTTCCCCTGCCAAACGTCCTGCCTTACGCTGCGTTCATACTTTCCGCCAGCGTTTTGGGCTTTTCGAACGTACGGCAGCATTTGAGCGTTTGGAGCGACTGGGAAAGTATAGTTATTGATCTAACGTTTTAAGCGTATGCGAGCGTACGGCAGCGTCCTGAGCGATTAAGAAGGATAGGTATCGATTTGCCGTTTTCGGCGACTGCCCGCGCAAAGGGTCTACGGACAGCTAAAACTCAATCCCTTTAATGGCGCCAACTTTCTTCTTTTCTCTGCGCTCTCTTGCCTGGATGGCGATTTATGGCCACTTTGACCTTTCACATTCCAACTTTTCACGCATACTAAGTGGCTCATCCACCCCGATATCCCTTCCCCTCAAAAAAACTCATCTCCTGGCTCGCATCGTGTTTTTTGTACCTCACGTGTGTAGTCCCTTATTGCTCTGCGCTCTGGCCTATCGTGGCAGGACCCCCACCAAAAGTTTTAGTTGTCACGTAACCCGCGCAAAGCTCAAACCACCAGCGAAAAGCTCGAGACGCTGGATCGCCTATATTTTGCTAGTCGCTCAAAAAGCTACCATACGCTCGAAACGCTCAACAACTGACGAACTGTCCCTTAGCAGAGCTCGAACGACCAGGGTTAGTTTCAGCGCGGCTTGGTCTCGCCGAAAACATAGCACAATCCTTTGTAAAGCGGCTAATGCCGTTTGGACTCCAGAAATTTCGGCACCGAGCTCATTTTTAAATTGCCTAAGTTCACCAAATCCGCTAAAAACTTGTATGTAGGGGTAGTTTAACATCCTGATTACGAATATGACATTCACTCTTGTCGCTGGCGCTAATGGATGACACTACGATTACCTCCTGGGCTCAGCCTTAGCAGAGCGCAGATAATCGTAGTGTCATCCATTAGCGCCAGCGCAAGAGTGAATGTCATATTCGTAATCAGGATGTTAAACTACCCCTACATACAAGTTTTTAGCGGATTTGGTGACTTAGGCAATTTAAAAATGAGCTCGGTGCCGAAATTTCTGGAGTCCAAACGGCATTAGCCTTGTAAAGCAGGAAATTGTACATCAATCACCATTGCAAAAACTATTCACTTTTCACAAAATACTTTATGTCAGGAAAAATCCTCATTACTTATGGACCGACTGAATATATCAGCGCTCGGAAATATTTATTAACTGCGATGTTACCATTTATTTGCAGTGTAATAATATATAGGATACATGCGAATTAGTGAGCGATCATTATTGATTTTTAGGATGAAGCGCTCGTGATAGACTCATTCCGTGGAATTCACATGCAAGCACGAAATTCCAGTGGTCAAGTCACGGCTCGCTTGTCTCTCACCGAAGACGGAAAGACACAAGCGATTTGCAATCGATTTGAGGTTCAGTGTGTTAATAGTCGATACCTGTAGTCTAGTTCGCTGCAGACGAAGGGGCTTGTCAGGCAGGATGAGTTTGGCGCGGTGCCAAACCCGTTCTCCACCAGTTGTTGAAGCGAGCAAGTGACAAGACTGTATCATATCGTTCGTATCACTCGTTTTCTACCAACTGTTGTCGCATACCCGCTTCAACAACTGGCAGAGAACGGGTTTGGCGCCGTGGCGCACTCATACTGCCTGACACGCCCATTCATCCTCAGCACAACTGGAGTATACATGCTGATAGGTTAGCTGGTTAAATACTGATTTTTCAGGTATTTGATCCGGACAATCGATTACTGTTTTTCGCAGATTCACAGGAGATTGGTCTCAAACTGGAGAATCTACGAATCTTAGGTAAGTAACTATTTATATACGTGTTTTCCGAAAAAAATGTGAGACCAGCGACTTGGGATCTCCTGTAATTCCCACTGTGTTCTTTTTTCATTCTTTCACCATTTCCTCTCTCTCTCTCTCTCTCTCTCTCTCTCTCTCTCTCTCTCTCTCTCTCTCTCTCTCTCTCTCTCTCTCTCTCTCAAGATCTTGTCCGGGTCCACAAGTCGCAGCTGGCTGTCTGTAGCGTGCCATCGCAAAGTATTCCTACATCGCACCCAACGGCGCCATTCACATCTGTAGAAGTGCATTTGTGAGCACACCTAACAATACTTCCGCGCTTACACCTTTCGCACAATTCCTTCTTTCTTCAGATAGTACGGTCCGCGGTTAGAGGTAATTCCGTTATCGTTGCTCCAGAGTAAGTTGTGAGAACGCTGCGGAAGCGATATGACTAAGGAGCGCCACCCGTAGAAACTGCCACACCCGTCTGGACTGAGGTATACCATTGGTCCAGTCTTTACATACTGATGAAGGGTGTTGTATTCTCCTCTACGTAGGACAACATCTGTAGTCGCGCTCGTTTCCCCGTTCTCTCGTCCTTTGTCTCTGCCCTCTCGCCCACGCGGCAGTGTCTTGCTTCTACGAATGCTCTTCTAACGACGGAGCCTTACTGAGGGCGTTTCTGAAAACTTTTCCCATTATACTTATTTCTATACTGGTGAATTAATTAGCATCCTCGTTTCATATTGGGATCCCTTTGCCCACGAACTGCAGTTGTGAATTGTTTCTCATCGGTAGAACGAGTTGTAGCTCTCATATAGCGATTCCAGATGAGGGTGGGAGTGTATTTGAGGGCGCTATACAGACATCACTTGTACGACCTGAGCCAGACACTCCTTTGAGGTGAGCTTTATTAAAAATGTTGTTTTCTCAATGATAAATCCAGCTGTTATGAAATAAGTGCAGGCTAGAGTCTCCAACACGAAGTATTTCCGTCGATGCAGCACAGGACATTGAGTTGATGGCTGCCGCTGGTGAAGTTCGAATCAACACGCTCCTTGACATCGGGATATCATCGAAACAGGTCAGTGAACATGTTGTCAGATATCTAATCGAGTTACTTACTCTTCGGAGGTATAAGTTTGAAATATACCCAGCATTATTACATCGTGCACGTGTGAATGCGTTAACTCTGCTTGTTTCGCAAGAGCGCGTTCGCACTTTCGCGATCGAATTCTGAACGCGCTTTTAGAAGGGGCTTATCCGTATGAGCCTCCTCCCTCATTGGAAACAGTGGTCCATATTTAAAAAAGTATCAAATAGTTGTTATTACCGCAGCTGTAACAGCTGCAGTTATATACGGTGACCACAGCACCCTAGTACTCATTAGGAAGTCGCAAAAGTGAGACAATCTTCGCGATTGCGCACTCCGTACTTGGGCAAGAAAGAACACGGTTGGGGGCGGGCTTTCTATCATCGCCGCCGATGATGCCCCTTCGCCAACTGTCGGGGGCGGGCATACCGTTGTAGTAGCGAGAACAATCGTACTCATTCTGTCTTTTGGCTGTTGCTTCTGTGTGACGAGATAAACTTTGTGCTCCCTCTCTCGCTCTTTCGTATAACAACTCACTGAACCACCGAATATTCGGCTTAGAAGGGTTAGATTTACACCAAGTCTTAAGAGCACCCACAAAACTTTCCCTTTAGAGGACACATGGCTGGTCGCGGCGAATCTCTGTAGCTTAGGTAGACTGATAGAGGATATTACTTGCTCGAGTCGCGATAGGTTCATCAAAAACGGACACAAATGAGTGGGGGACGCGAGAGCAGAGCGAACAGCAGAAAATTGGTGCAGTTCAAAGAGCCGAGTTCGAGTAGTACGTTGTGCAAGCGCTACTACCATCTAATTCAATTTTCAGTCTTTTTATGCTGGCTTGTTGCTACTGATCGTTACTAGACATTATCAAAATTAATTGCGTGATTTTTGATTTCAAAATAACCTTTGACAAATTCACATTTCACCCAAGCTTTTGGTGTGCTAACAACTCAGCATTCTTATAATAACTTTGTTATTTTTTTCGCATCATGTTCTTCTTTGTTTGTTCTAACTTGCTACCAGCCTTGATGCTACTTGAGTCCTGAAGGTCAAGCCTCAGAGCGAAAATCCTCTGCTGTCCTCCCCAATGCGAAGTTGATTATGATTCTGATCGTCTCATCAGCGATTTTTCGATGCCCCTCTCTCAACCAGGTCGTTTTCTGGTGACCACTCAGAAAAGCCCAGTACTTTTGTGATTTGGATGAGTTTTCCTTCTTGAACGAGGGGTCGCATGAGTTTTCGTGGTACCTGTGTGGCGATGGGGAGCAAGTATCCCAGTCAGGCTATCCAGTCACATTGGGTTTTTGGCGCTCACCGTGATCGTTACTTGATAGCAACGCAGACTTGCACGTTCTCCCTGATCCTCTGTGCATTCATTCTGTTCATCTACAGTCACATTCTTCTCTTGAAAATTTGACTGAAAATTCAATAAGGTTGGTTTTCTCGAATATGAACGTCACATTTGTTGGCCGTGAAAATGCTTGACGTGCGCTGCACGAGACAGCATTCATATATAAGTATTTTCAGGGGCAGAATCACTTAGTGAACCTAAAGGCAGTGGGGAAGGTTGCTGGAGGTGGGCGGTCGTTGCTTGCGTCATTGGTGGAAGGCCTGCGAGATGGCGTTTGCCCACCTCACTCAGGCCTTCCAGCGCGCACGTTGCCTTTAACGGCATAATCCGTACAGGCACCTTCACGCCTGAAGAGGAAGCGGAGGAGGGGGAGGAGATAGGAGCTTTGTATTAGGTTGTCCGGAAAGTTCTCAGCGTTTTGTGTTACTATTTTTTGTACATTCATTGCTGATTAAAAACTCATTCTCCCTTGCGTCTCAGTAGTACATCCTGAAGAGAATTTTTTGCGCTATCTGATGGTATAATTGCCGTTTCACCATTGCTTGATAAACCCCCTTTTCCCAAGACTTTTTGAAGCATGTCAAAAGAGCAACTTCGGACGATATTTTTCTTCAACTACAAATTGGGTCAATCCGCAGTCGAGACAGCTCGACAAATTAACCAGGTGTGGGGGCCCAATAGTGTTGGAGAAAGCACCGTGCGACAATGGTTCGACAAATTTCGTTCTGGAGATTTCAGCCTCGTAGCGGTCGACCTAAAGCAATACCTGACGAGGATTTGAAGGCGTTTGTGGAGGCTGACCCATCCCAAACAGTTCGAGAGATTGCAGAAAAGCTAGGCGTTGGCAAATCCACTGTTGCGGATGGTCTGGAACGCATTGGGAAGGTGAAAAAACTCGAGTGGGTGCCCCACAATTTGAGTGACCGGCAGAAATTGGCACGTCTCGAGGTTTCTTCTTCACTGCTTTTGCGCAACAGAAACGACCCGTTTTTGGACCGAATTGTCACCTGTGATGAAAAATGGATCATGTATGATAACAGGAGACGTTCCGGACAGTGGTTGGATTCCGACGAACCACCGAGGCAATTTCCAAAGCCGAATCCTCACGAAAAAAAGATTATGGTCACATCGGCTGGTGTGATCCACTATAACTTTTTGTCACCAGGCCAAACCATCACAGCAGAGTCCTACTGTGAAGAAATCGACGAAATGTACCGAAAATTGCGTCAGCTGCAGCCAGCACTTGTCAACAGAAAGGGTCCGATTCTTTTGCATGACAACGCCCGCCCACACGTTTCACAAATCACTATCCATAAATTGAACGAATTGGGGGTTGAAGTTCTACCTCACCCGCCATATTCTCCAGACCTTTCACCAACCGACTATCACCTTTTCAAACATTTTCAGAACTTCCTTGCTGGAAAATACTTCATCAATCAGGACCAGGCAAAAAAGCCTTCGTGGATTTCGTAGATTCTCGACCACCCAGTTTTTTCCTTTGATGGGATTTCTCGACTGGTGTCACATTGGCAAAAGTGTGCTGATTCGAATGCTTATTTCGATTAAATCCGATGAGTATTAAGAAAGTTATGATCGTTTAAAGTGAAACACCCAAAACGCTGAGAACTTTCCGGACAACCTAATAACTGCCCGAGGATTGCCTGGAGCACCATCTCGCCGATAGCCGGATCGACTTGCTAGAATTCCACTTAGAATCTAGTGAGTATTCTTCTTCATTCTCTTGTGCAGGGACTTTTTGCAGCATTGCTGTGAGGGAACAGCTTAATTAGTTACCCTTTGAACCCCTCCCCTTACTCTTTGAGGTCTTTAAATATCTTGACGTATATGTGTTGTCCATCTTGCCTAGAAGAAGAGTTTGGTGTGAATTATTGATGGAGTAACTGCATAACAGGGCACCTCATTGGTTGAATAGCCACGTGTGAAACAAGAAAAACCGCCAGACAATACGACGACCCCCCTTCCCCCAACTCAGATTTTTTCCACCTATCCGGTTCACATGAAATGGGAAAATCACGAAAAGTCACCCCCTCTCCCGGAAGGCCAGAAATTACAAAAAGCTAGTTAGCTAGCTCGACCCCCCTTGCAACGTCCATGAAGCAAAAAATCAACTATCAAAATAAATTTTTCTCAGCCCAAATACGACTCTCCCCTCTCCTGGCGGCCAAATACGACCTCCCTCCCGTGGGGATTTCCCAACAAGATATGCCCGCTGCATAATTCGCTCACCTTACGCCTTGACAGAGAAATTGGAAATGAAAGATGTGCAACGCCAAATAAATTCAATTTCTAGGGTGAAATTCATCTGGAATCTGCCAATATTTTTATGGAAGGTCAACCGCGAAGTGCTGGTCGTGGTGCTCCTCAGCTTCAGCTATGTGTATGTCACAGTGGGCGGTTGTTTGTCGCCACACAGTCGGCTGACTGTCGAGCCGATCGGAATATTTGCCAATAATCTTTCTATTTTTGTATATATTTATGGGTATTTCGTTCCCAAAAGACTTATCAGTTATTATTCTTTTCGATAATTGTTCTATCTTGATAGTGGTGATTGAGTCGTTGACCGAAGTGGCATATGATGAGAATGTTATTATGAGATTGCTGAGTTATGGACAAAACTGTTGGATTGTTATTTTTATGAGGAGACGAAATTTTATTACTTGTTTTCCTGACATATCGACAGAAAGTTGTTCGTGGGAACTGAAAGTGGAGGAGATAAGACAGGACTGTTTGCAGGACGGGTTACTCGCCTGCTCGGAGCAGTAACCATCGTCCGACCAGCTGCAGGAATTCGATTACTTTATTGCAGTCAAGGCATATCCTGCGGTGCGGAAACAGCAGCACGTAAATTCTGCGCTATAATCAGAGCACGTAGTACAATGGGGAGCCCGAGCGAAGGGATCGTTTTTGTCTTTAGAAGGAAGTCCAATTTGCCTCTGGAAAGTGTTCTCTGTTGTTGACTTTTCTCCTTTTTTTCTGTTCTGAAGACACATGGTACGATCACACATAGTTTGGGTGTGCGTGACTATCAGCCCCCAGCTGTCGAAGCGTAGCGGTTTTCCCGTCCTAACATGCGCAGGAATGGAGATACAGGACCGTGAAACACGCTAATTCCTCCATGCTCCGCCCAATGCCTTTTGCGGCGCAGACTCCCGTTTATGCTAACAGCCGTCCGCGCGGCGCGTGTCGCGCGCAGCGCTCTTGGCACTTTGCCAAGTCCTGTAATTGCGCTTTGGAATACAAGTAAAACGCAATTTTTGATGCGGATAACATTTGAGGTGTTGCTCATGCTGCAAAGTCCGAATAGAAGGTGATGAAGATGACAAAGGCTAGAAATGAAGAACAACGAATGTAGATGTAAATAAAACAAAAATGAAAAAATAAGGAAATGCAAATTAATTAAAATCGCGTGTAAATTTCTGCAATTCGGCGCGATGCAAGCCATAAAAATACTAACGAATGGGACGCTTAGGCCGTTTTTCATTTTCATGTTTTGTGGGAATGCGCGGCCTCCGAGGGATATTGCAGAAGCAGCACAGTTGCTCTTGAGTTCTGGCCCTCGTCATCATCTTCGGTTCTTATTTTGCAGCACCTCAAATGTTATCCGCATCAGGAAATTGCGTTTTACTTGTATTCCAAAGCGCAATTACAGGACTTGGCAAAGTGCCAAGAGCGCTGCGCGCGACACGCGCCGCGCGGACGGCTGTTAGCATAAACGGGAGTCTGCGCCGCAAAAGGCATTGGGCGGAGCATGGAGGAATTAGCGTGTTTCACGGTCCTGTATCTCCATTCCTGCGCATGTTAGGACGGGGAAACCGCTACGCTTCGACAGCTGGGGGGGCTGATAGTCACGCACACCCAAACTATGTGTGATCGTACCATGTGTCTTTAATTACGCTGTGTATCCCTACGCCGTACCCCCGCTCAATGAGTTTTTCTGGAAAAGGTGAGGAAATTCTGGAAAAAAATGGCAACCGGTAGGAAGATGGAGGAATTTTAGGAATTTAGGAAGATGGTAAGTAGGATGGGATGGATGTCGTTTGGACTCACTCAGGTTTTGCAACTGGCGCCGATTATGAAGTGTTGTGGCCGTGGTCACGTAAAACTCCACTTACACAATTTTAGCTACGCGGCGAATTTTTCTCAGAAGCAGATACGACCCGTCTGTGCCAACGACGTGCAGAATGCTTGTAGCGAAGGGTACGCTCGCGCGATCAGATCGCTCGAAGGGTACCTCGCTGATCTAAACGCTTGAGCGCGGGATCCAAGGGCGAAG